ACTCTAACCAAAGCTCTGATACCACTTGTTAGGACCCGGTGGCACTAAACACTACTGCACAGCAGAATAAAATAAATGATCAACGAAATCAAAAATAAATGACACAATATTTAACGTGGTTTACCTAAAACGTTTAGGCTACATCCACAAATCCGACACCAACTTCCACTAAAACATTTAGCAGGCATACAAAGAGAGACTTCCCCAATAATTTGGAGGTACAACAATTCCTGAGCTCTACCCAAAATAGTNTGACACAATATTTAACGTGGTTCACCTAAAACGTTTAGGCTACGTCCACAAATCCGACACCAACTTCCACTAAAACATTTAGCAGGCATACAAAGAGAGACTTCCCCAATAATTTGGAGGTACAACAATTCCTGAGCTCTACCCAAAATAGTGGCGCACACAAAAGTGTTTCCCGAAAAATACCCGACTAGTATTCTACTCACTATTTTGTCACTCCTCTGTTAGGAAACATTCCTAAAGGAACTATATCTCTCTCCCTCTCAAACTCTTTCTTCTTGAGTTTTGATATATATTTTTTGGTGTGTTATACAATGAAATGGAAGGGGGTATTTATAGTTTTGAGATAGGGACCAAAAGTGCAAATCTCACCTACCAAGAAGGATCAATTTGCAATATTCCCATCTCACCTACCACTCATTGCATCATTGCTTATCTCACTAAGGAGAGTTGAATCATTGCTTACCTCTCCCATACATCACCATAATTGTTGGAAAAACTAGCACAATTCAGAAAGAATGTCCAGAATGTATTTTGATTGAGAAAGAATGAGACCATTTGATTCTTGCTTAACTTCAACACCCAAGAAGTAGTTTAGATAACCAAGATCCTTCAATGAAAATCTTTCTGCCAAGGAAGTAATGACAAATTTAATCACTTATGGATGGTTTCCAGTGATTATGATGTCGTCGACATAGACAAGCACATAAATAGTTACAGCTAGATGCTTCCACACAAATAAAGAGGTGTCGGATTCTGTTTTAACAAAATGCATTTTCAACAGATGTTCACGCAGAGCATTATACCAAGCCCTGGGGGCTTGTTTGAGGCCATAAATAGCCTTCTTCAGTTTGCAAACATGAGTCGGAAATTGCGTATTAATAAAACCTCGGGGTTGAGACATAAAAACTTCATCCAATTTTCCTTGTAGGAAAGCATTATTGACATCAAGTTGATGGATTGGCCAATTGTGTTGCACAGCTATAGATAGCACCAACCTGACCGTTGTCGGTTTAACAACAGGACTGAATGTCTCATGAAAGTCTAAGCCAGGGCGCTGCGTGAACCCTTTAGCAACTAGACGAGCTTTGAAGCGGTCTATAGAACCATCTGCTTTCCTCTTGATTCAATACAATCATTTGCAGTCCACAACATTTTTGGACGGGTCTCGCGGTACCAGTTCCCAAGTCTGGTTTTTTATGAAAGCATCATACTCTACTTTCATTGCTTGAATTAGAAATGAAAGCTTAAAAGCAGTTTTAGATGCCTGAATTAGAGTTGAACCAGTGTGAGTAATGGGAATGGTTTTACCGTCACCCATGGATATTCCTTCAGTTCTGGTATACTCTTCAAGGTTGTGGGGCTCAGTAGTGACATGGTGAGTTGCACCAGAGTCTAGAACCCAAGAGTTTCCAGTCGATTGCAGGCTAGACACAAAGTTAGCCTGAGCTTCAAGATGATTGTGCGACTTGGAGCGACAAACATCTGCTGTGTGACCAAACTTTTGGCACAATTGACATTTGACAGATTTCTTAAATTGTCTCCTGTTTTGCTGATTGTTGGAATTCCATTATCGAGACTGAGGTGGTTTCCATGACTGATTGTTGAAACGAGGATTGTTCTTGTTGAATTGAGGAGGCGTGTTGGATTTCTGTGCAACAGCAGCTGTGATCATAGAAGATTTTTCCAGATCTTGATGTTTGAGGAAAAACTCATGATCAGTGAGCTTGTGAAATAATTCTTCAAAGCTCAAAGAAGAGTTTCGTGCGCGTATCGCAGCAGAGATTTCACGGTACTCGGGGCCAAGACCACTTAGAATTTTGACAATTAGTTCATCGTCATTGACAGGTGAACCAGCAACTTTGAGAGCATCAGAGAGAGAACGAACCTCCTGTAAGTACTTTGCAATGGTTTTAGAAGCCTTCTTGGTATTTTGCAATTGATCCCGCAAGCAAAAGATGTGAGTATGACTTTTGTTGGCGTAAGCCATGTGAAGGAGTTCCCACACTTTGTTAGCAAATGGTGTTGTGGCAACAGTTGGGGCAATGGTGGGATCAACCGATGCCATCATTGCTTGTTGAATCAATTGATCCTGAGAAAACCAGATCTGATAATTGGGATTTGCAACAGTAAGATCATTTTGGGTAATAGTACGTGATGGAGCAGTTGTGGTTCCATCAAGATGACCCATGAGTTGATGCCCATTTAGTAGCATCACAAGTTGTGCTTTCCATGTTGGAAAATTGAGGTTACCTTGTAGTTTAATAGGTAACTGAGCAACAGGATTAAATTGTACCACATTAGTGGTGGCAGAGGTTGCTGGACTGCTGGCAGCAGCTGTTGCGGAAGCCAAATGTATATAGTGTGAATAAGTCACAACTACTATACCAAAAAT